CACCCAAAAAAAGCCTTGGCGGTCGCCATGACACCCGTGGGCACCACGTTGGGAACCACTGGTTTAGACTATCAGTTTGATATGCTGTGCCATGTAATGAAATACATTTTCACACCCATCTGCATGCACCTCTGATCATGTGCGCAGAAATATTCATATAACTTTTTTTGATTTTGTTTTGAAGTTACTAACCAGTGTAGTATTTGCTTGCCTCATTGCAGTGTCTTTTTACCTTTTGTTGAACATTGCCGAAGATACCCGTGTTGAGGACAAAATGAGAAAAAAGAATATTACTGGAATGCTGACTAAAACATTAGACAGAGAAAATGTTGATCTTTTAATCCTGGTTGTCACATTTCTGAAGAAATTGGCTCTTTTCAAAGAGAATGTGGATGATATGGTAAGTTTCCAAATAATTTTGTAGATAGATTAAATTTGTTAGATTAGCCTTAGCTTTACACTTTCTCATAAGATATCTTGGAACATTTTTATAGTATCTGCTCATTGAGAGAGGTGTTATTTTTATGAAAGGATATATTTGATATTTTGTTTTAATTTAGACGGGTTTACCAAACAGAATATGTTTGAATGTGTTAATTGAACCAATATAGAAAAGAAATTCATCTTGGTGTGAATGTGATACACCTGGCTTCTTGTGGGTACATTAAAATACAGTATGTATACATGCGCACACGTGTGCACCCTGCTTCATTCCGTCTCCATTATTATTATTTTTATTTATTTTTTATTATTGTTTTGTGGTGCATTACTACACAGTTTAAAATGTTTCAGTTCACATGTGTTGTAACAAAATAAAGTACTGCTTAATTATGATTTCACCAGTTTTTATTTTACTGCGGGACTATTGCATTACTTCACTGGAGTCACTTCTTGAACAACATGTTTAAACTTTCTTCTAGTTATCGTCAGGTTCATTTATCATTAGTTTGCTTCCATAAGCATTATAAAACATTTAAAGAACAAGAAAGACAAAATAGTTAAGGAAAATGACACAAATACCAACTTATTGAAAACAGTTTGCAAATGAATTAAACAAATATAGACAGTAGTAATCCATTATTTGCAGTGCTGTGTCAACATGCTATAAATACATAGCATCACCTGTGTACCCACTCAGGTATAAAATAACACTTTATTAGCAACAGACACTGATAATAACGCAAGCCATATGTAATCCTGTGGTTGCAAAATAAATAATAATGTGCATCGTTAATGTTTGCATTGCACAGAGACATACTGAAGACAAGACAAGGATAAGCACAACATAATCGCATAACCAAGCCACTGACAACATAGTTAAAACATGTTTCAAGATTTTTACCATGTTTATTATTATTTTTATTTACTTTCTAGACTTTACGTATACGTGTGTAAAGTCCTCTGGTTGATGTACCAGTGTAGAACTGTGCTCCACTGCCGCTGTTGCTTCCGTATCGTTTCATATGTGCCATGAATTTGTATAAGAAAGTTTATTTTTGCACGTTATAGTTATATAAGGGCAGTATCTTATACTTCATAATTAAAACTTGTCAGATGCACACGCACATGTGTTCGTCATCAATAGTTTTATTCAGCATTTGTTATGTTTTGTTTCATTCTTCTTGGGCGAGGATTTATATGTCGATACATATTTATGACTATGTATAGTTTTGTGCCCCCTTTTCATGATGTTCTGTTATGTGTCTTTGACAAATTAGGGTGTGCCATGGGTGAAAAAAGTTTGTAGAATACTGTTATAGAATGAACCTGATGATGAATGCAAGACTGTCACAGGTTCAAGAAATGATTCCAGTTAAGTGCAATGATGCAGTACTGCAATTAACACTATTGGTGTTGTGTAGTGAGTGACAAAGTGGAACCATAATTATACAATAACAGCAAGATACTACAATACAAGCTTAAATATAATGTTTATTTTTTGTTTGTGAGCAAATCTAACAATTAACCCCATGACACGGAGATAGTTACTCAGTTGGTCATGACATTTTTTGTTACAGACCTCTGTGTTTTATCACAGTGTTAACCAATACAGTACCTAATTCTGTGGCATTCATAGTCTTCCATTAGCAGTTTGATATTATGAAGC